AGATGACATAAATAAAATATAACTTGCAATTCTTAATATACTTTATTGTCCCAGAGGATGTTTCCTAAAAGTCAATTATTTAAAAGTATGGTTTCACTAGCCACCCCAAGAAAAGGTTTTTTAGACCATATGATTCTCTCACATGTAGTCCCTACTATCGTTTTGGATAATTTAACATGATATTTGGAGCATAAATAAAGACCATCTGTGTACACAGATAACAAATTTGTGGGTATTTTGCTGCCTGGAACTTGGAGAGGATTGAGTGCATCTAATTGGAAAATCTGAACAGACTGGCATGATTGTACAACAAATACGCCCAGCATTCTGTTAAAGCCCTGTGTTTTACTATCCAGGGATGGTTGTAAAGAATACTCATAAAGGAACCTTCCATTTCCTCTCCCCTTTAGATCAAAATGATTTAACATGATCTGAGATTATAAATGTCTCATGTGTATGTTCCCCAGGAGACTGGGCAACCCTGAAGCACGTGAAGCTTAGGGAAAGGATGTCTTTCACTGCTGTTTTGAAACTGGGTGTTTGGACTGAAACGAGGGGGGGCTTTAACCCATTTGGGGAGGAGCAGGAAGGGGCATGACCCCACTTTAGTTTTCACCTTTATACTACGCTCTGCTTGGAGGGGTGATCCTCTAATCCCTCATTTGGCTCAGTGGCAAGTTCGTAAACGTTTTACTCATTTACTCATGAGTTTTACGGTTCATTCTGAGGTCCTGAATGCCTTTGCTCAACAAAGCATTGCATGAAAACATTAGTAAAATTTCTCACCTACACAGGACAAGTGGCATTTTAGGGAACTGTGAGTTATTTAGTTGACATTTCATTTTTAGAGATGTTACAAAAAAAAAAAAAATTACTACCAGCAAAATAGTGCTTTACCAAAAAGGAGAAAAATGTGTAAGTTTATTTTGTATATTTTGTATTCTCTGAATGAAGTACTGCTAAGGCCCTTGATTTTTGAATATTTGGGATTTGGATGCTGTTTTTTTTTTTTTTTTTTTTAAGATCGTTCCTCTTGGATCAAATGAATCAGATGAGGTGTCCCTGCAGAATTTGGACAAAACTTGGTAGAAGGCCCTGAGATGAGTCTTTCAGTGGGTGGGCTGGCCATGTGCTGATGCAGTTTCTGTGTTGGTGCCCCTGGAAGTCCATCTGCCTGGCACCCGGTTTGAAGGGGTCTTTATTCCAAGGGAGGAGATCTGTAGAGAAAATAACAAATGTCCACCTGGAGTCTGAAAATATTATTTCTGTCTCTATTTGATCCATTCTGGTGCTTCCCTATGGTTGCAGATTCCAAGATAAATAAGATAACATTCTTTTTTGAAGTGGATGACAATAAGGTCACGAGGTACAGACAGCTGACAGAGTGCCCTGTCAGTGTGTGGTGTCCAAATGGAATCAAGTCGTCAGCTCCACTGGAGAAGTATTTGTTAGATGTTAGTTGGTTTTTAAGGTACAAAAAAAGCTTTAATAAAAACCCTCAAATGGTCTGTTACCATTGTCTCCCTTAAACCCAATTACACAGCCCCGTGGATTTAAAAAAAAAAAAATCATGTTTCAAAAATTAAAGAATGCCACTAAGACTATGCCTTCTCAGAGATTTTCCCTAAGACCATCTGTTATCTGGAAACCCTGGAGTAGAAACACTGTCAGCGAGGAAAGGGGTTAGTTTACCTACAGCTACTATAGCTACGTTGCAATTCCCACCCTCACCTCAGGCCTGAGATGGCCTGTAAAATCTGATTAAGTTTTAGGGTGAGGCAGACTGAGACCCACACTATTTCCCTTCTTTCTCCTCTGCCTTTCCTTCCCCCAAATAACAACAATTAAAAAACAAGCCAAAGCCCCCAGTCTATGAAGACTGCCAGGACAGAAATGGCATAATCTGCACTGTCCACCTACCACTGCTGTGACAATGTGCTGCTCTAGTGGCAGAAGCCAGCACATTGGGCATTTGTCCCATATAGATTCAGGCTATTGAATCACAACCAACAGAGATTTGGTTCTTTGACGAACTGAACACGTGGTCTTCTCCCACCTGTGCTGGAGAGTGCATTGCCAAGGGTACTGTCATGGGTGGGGGAGGGAGTAAAGTTCTAAACTGAGAGTTGGAAACACTTGCACGTGAAGGCTGCTTTTCTTTTTGGTAGTTCTGAGATAAGAGATACGGGAGTTGCAGGAGGAAAGTTTCTATGTTTTTGTCATGATACAGGCTTCCTGTTTACACCTTTGGAGAGAAAATTGTACACACAGGTTCCCGTAATTCTATTTTCAGCGGGAGTTGCAGGAGGAAAGTTTCTATGTTTTTGTCATGATACAGTCTTCCTGTTTACACCTTTGGAGAGAAAATTGTACACACAGGTTCCCGTAATTCTATTTTCAGTGTGTTCATTTGGTTGCTCATGCAAGGATCATTGGGTTGGGCCCTGGGCAGCAGGAATGACAGCCACGGGGCTTTATAGGAGCTGTAGTCCGAGGGATGGATGGACATGTGTAAGCCATTGAGTTGTAGTATGAGAGTTCTTGTGAGGCAGACTTGGAGGTCAGGAGGCATTTTTCTACAAAAAAAAAAAAAAAAATACATTGAAGTTAAGTTCCCAAAACACCAACGAAAAGCTAATTTTTACCTTTGATATTACCAATACTAATAGCTAAGCTTTATTGAGATTTAGTAAATCTCAGGGAGAGCCATTAATTTATCTAATCTCTTCAACACCTCTATGAGGTATTATTATTATTATTAGCTCCATTTTTACAGATGAGCAAACAGGCATGAAAATATTGACTACTTTGCCCAGATAGTCCTACTGCTGAGTTGGTTATCCAGTCTTTTTTTTTTTTATAAAGATGACCGGTAAGGGGATCTTAACCCTTGACTTGGTGTTGTCAGCACCATGCTCAGCCAGTGAGCTAACCGGCCATCCCTATATGGGATCCGAACCCGGGGCCTTGGTGTTATCAGCACCACACTCTCCCGAGTGAGCCACGGGCCGGCCCAAGTTATCCAGTCTTTTGAAAGAAGGGAGTGGTTATGCCAAAGTCCAGGGTTCATCCCTTTCCAGGCCAGCCACCAAAAAAAAAAAAAAAAAAAAAAAAAGGTGGTTGCATATAGCCTACTTAATTTAAAAATATAGGTTCCTAAATCAGGCCCTTTTGGCAGCTGTTTTCAATAGTTCATTGGTGCACATAAAGTTTACGTAAATTTTTACCTGCTTCCTCCTTTTTATTCTCATTTCCTAGAGAGCCGGAACCTTGTCTTGTTTGACATAGAATTCCCAGCATGTAGCATGGAGACCTGTCCAAAATATTGGTTGAATGAATTATTGGATTCAGATATTTTAAAATTCAAAATGAAGAATTCTTTGAGGACTTACTGATTCCTCTGTAGCACTGTTGCCAGTGCTTTGCAAAAATTAGGTACTTAATAAATGCTTGGAGAATGAATAAATGAAATTGTTAACGTTTTTGAATAGGAGACAGGGCTTACTAATTCTGCAAGATTGTGTCATTTCTTGTTATAGTAAATAGATTTTGAATTCCGTGTTCATTTACTTCATTTAAAATTCTGTGACTGTGGATTTTTCCAAGTTTATGTTTTTAGTTCTTGACGAATTTAGTGAATGTCTTTTCATACATAAAAAAAAAAGTAACTACCATGCAAAAGGGATCAGAGGATAGAATGACTTAAGATGGCTCTGGCTTCGATCTAAGAATGTTCTTTGTTTATAGATAAGTTTTAAAAACATAGGAACCAATCAGTCAATCTCTATTTCCCCTTCTCTTTAGCTTAACAAGATCTGGACTCTCATTACTAATCAGTGATGAACATTTACTTTTTGGATTGGTATATATAGGACAAGGTTCATTGAAGTAAGGAAAGGATTTCGTAAGTTGCCTCGTTTGTAATCATATCAGTCAATCTCTATTTCCCCTTCTCTTTAGCTTAACAAGATCTGGACTCTCATTACTAATCAGTGATGAACATTTACTTTTTGGATTGGTACATATAGGACAAGGTTCATTGAAGTAAGGAAAGGATTTCGTAAGTTGCCTCGTTTGTAATCATCTGGAAAGCTGACAACAGTGTGATAATGAGGTGTCACAGCTGTGTGTGTAACTTGTTTTCTGGCTTAATGCACTTCCTTCAGTGGTGGGATGGGAGTGCACCAGCCTGGAGTTTGCATAAGCCCCCTTGTGGATTCTGGCTGACCTCCCTTTCATTTCTGTTCTAATCCACATATATGTGTAAAGTTATATCCATGCTTATATCCTTATACCATATAGAGTTAAAATATTCTCATGTTAGGACAAGGCCAAGTGCAGTAGCTGGTTGGTTTCTATGGTGGATCCAGTGTCCTCTGCCTCTAGACTTGTAATACAGCTTATGGAGGAGCTTGGCTATGACTTGAATCTTGTACAATGACAGAGATTTTATTAGGAGGAGTAAGTATCAATGTCCCACTTAGATTTCAGGACAGTTATAGGCTGTGCAGCATGAAGCAACACAGCCAGTGGTAAACTATGCTTGTAGAATGTGTATCAGATCTCGCTGTGGTTGGATCTCCCCTCACACTCTTTCCAGCTTCCTGTGAAGTCTTAGCCAAAGTGGGACTCTAGGAGTGAGAATTTTGAAGTTTTGGGAGCTTAATATTCACTCCATAGGATTATGGTGTAAGATAGAAAAGTGGCTTTTAGCAGATTAAAAAAAACACACCACTTGTATCTTTGCTTCCTTGCTAGAGATTTGTGTGTTTAAGGGATCTTGTTACTCAAGGTAGGATTATGGATCAATTAACTTTGCGACTATTTTTCTGTTCACACTTGGCTTATTTGTGCCTATGTTATCTGTAAATCCAGTAAATATTTAGTCTGTTTGGTGTTGGCCTTGGGATTTTAATTAGCATCCATGATATCTAAATATATCTTGCCTACTTGAACTACTGTGATTACAATGCTTTCTTGCTTAATTAGAATATAAAATAATGACACTTTCTGTTCAGTCCCAGAAATCCTGGATTGAAGGAGTATTCGAAAAGAGAGAATGTAATAAAATCATACCCAGCTCAAAAGACCCTCACAGGTACAATTTTTAATTTACATTTTTCTTTTTAAAGTAATACTACTTGGAGAGCTGTTTGTAGAAACTTCAGAGATATGACTTGTGTAGAGGATTTGATATCTATAAAGTTAGTACTTATTAATTTTTTTAGTACCTATTAATTTTTAATCAATGTTTATTTCTTTCACTTTATAAAAGTAATCCATGATTATTGTAGAAAATCTGATATGAGCAGGGACTTTATCAATTTTGTACCTCACTCCAACCCCTGTGCCTATTACCATATAGTCAGCTCCTGGTAAATAGCTGTTTAATGAATTAATGATATGTAAGGGGTTGTAATGACATCACTGTTAATAGTGTGGTGGGTTTCATTTCACTTGCTGCTCCTGTTTCTCTTGATGGGAGGATAGACATTAGGGAACTACCTAGCACTGCATCCATTCCACCGGGTTTGGATAAATAATTTACAACTTCTGAATATTGAATATTCAGAATATTGTGAATGTGTTTTATCCCCAACTAAAGTATCTGTGGACAATAGTGACTGTGATATTTCAGGACACTGTGCTCAGATTATGTAAACAGGTAATTTTAGTTCCATTTTCTTCTCAAGGGCTTTTTGTTTGAGCAGATAATGGACAGCAGAATGAAAGGATTTGAGTTTGACTACTCTGAGTTCTTGTCAACCCTTTGAAAGCTCTCCTTGTAGAACAAAGTTCGAAAAGGCAGCCAGTGAAATATAGGGGAAAAAAGGGCTATGGAAAATTCCCCAGAATAATCAGTCCCATCAAATTGAGATTGGATGGCATTGCCCTTGGGGAAAAAAAATTAAACGGAAAATAGAAGAACGAATATATTTTAATTAGGGGAACCATTCTATTTTTAGACTTCTTTGCACAGTTGGCCTTATATTCATTTAAAGTTTAGAAATTATATGCTTACGAAGTGTAGCATGGTGAGATTCTTGAAATTCTAGTTCTTTGGGGATGATTAAAATAGTTTTCTTTGCCTTTGTTAAACATTTACTAGTCCCACCCTCACTGAATTACCTGTGATTTGTAAGCCCTGTGATTGGAAATTCTCATTTTACCTGCTCACAAAATGTTTACAGAATGGCAAGGTAACCTTGTTTTTCTCATCATCTTTTATGGCATCTTGTGATGTAATGGTGGCTGCAATGGAAAGCAGGTTGAATTCAGGTGGCTCCTTTGCTTTTGTAAATGGAAAATCATTGTCACAATCACCTTGAACCTCATCAAAAGTCATAAAATTGCCAAGTCTGTTGTTAGCCCATAGACTCAGGAAGAACACCAATGATCATAAATCCACGAATGGTCCAAGGCATGCTACATTTTATAGAGAAAAAGAGTCTCTGTTTTTGTGGAATGGCTGACTGTGGCTAGTCCTCCCTGCCAATCTTTTTCTTAGATCCTAGTAAGAGTCTCAAAAGTATCACTTCGGTACAGTTTTCTTCGTCATGGTGGACAGGAGAAGGGTGATAGTTCAATATTTTATTTTATTTATTTATTTATTTATTTTTTAAAGATGACCGGCAAGGGGATCTTAACCCTTGACTTGGTGTTGTCAGCACCACGCTCTCCCGAGTGAGCCACAGGCTGGCCTCGGCGCTCCCAGCGCTGCACTCTCCCGAGTGAAATATATATATATATATTTTTTGACCGGTAAGGGGATCAACCCTTGGCACGGTGTGGTCTGCACCACACTCAGCCAGTGAGTGCACCGGCCATCCCTATATAGGCTCCGAACCTGCGCCCTCCACGCTACCAGCGCTGCACTCTCCCAAGTGAGTCACTGGGCCAGCCAAATATTTTAAATTTTGATAAAAGTTTATCTTTTTTATTGATTCTTTTTCTAGCTCCTAATAAGAAACAATTCTAATAGACTTGATTACAATGTCTTTTTTCTTCTCATTTCCAACTTATTGAAGTAAAGCATCGACAAAAAGACATTCCCCAAAGCCTGGGGTGGGAAGTAGTGAAGGGCCTGAATATTAGTTTCTGAATAACTTACAGTGATCCTTATTCTATGAACCCTACCTTCTCTTCCACTGTTTTAACTAGAATTCTCTGTTAAAACTTCTGCACACTGAAAATATGATCTTTGGTGACCACAATGCTAACCCCCATCTCCAAAAGGATCTTATAAATCATAAAAAATAGTTAATGAGGATAATAAGTCTCCCTTGAGATGATAGTTTTAGGGCTTAAAAATTGTTTCTGTATACATTTTCTTTCTTGATTCTCAGGAAAGAAACTATTATCTCCATAGTTTAATAATAATAGTAGCTACCATTATGGTACACTCTGTAATGTACAAGGCACTGTAAGATAATTTGCATGCATTATCTCAGATAATCCTTTTAATAACCATATGCGGAAGATTTTATTTCCAGATGTGAAAACTGAGGCTTAAAGGAATTATTAAATCAATGAGATTTAAGTCTAGGTATTTTCATTCCAAAGTCAATGTTTTATTAATTAGATCATATTGTTGCAGTAAAATTACATGTGGTAAAAGATGTAGGGAGATATCTGGGAAATGATATATGAATACTTAGCAAACCCTGATTTCCAACCCATAAGAAATAATATGTATTTACTATATAAGCATTAAATATGTTTTCAATTATATCAGTAAATTAACAGAGGCTTTATTTCTTTAATTTAGATGTACTTCAGGATGCCAGGTCTGCCAGAATTTAATCAGGTAAGATTTAGATAAATAAGATTCCTTTTAACTTTCAGGCATCCTGTTTAAAACTCTTTGGGACAGTTTCCTCACATCTTGAATGAACTCAATGAAAAATGCATGCTATTTACTTCTCCAAGGGAAGTTTTAAAAAAGAGATTTTTTTTTTTGGCTACTGGCTGGTACAGGGATTGAACCCTGGACTTTGGTGTTATCAGCACCATGCTGTAACCAACCAAGCTAACTGGCCAACCCCCAAAAGGGATTGTTTTGATGGAGAAGATCATTTCAATATAACAGACTACTCGAATTACTGAGACATGTAAATGGCTAAGGGCCTTTTTTTACACAAGCTTCTACCAATTGCAACACTTATAAAGCATTCAATTTTCATTTTACTATCACGTTTTATTTGAGCAATAGAGTTCATTCACATAAAGCACTCTGTTTGATCTATGACTGGCAACTTGCAAATGATGTGGGTGCATACCAAACTTAGGAGCAGAAATAACACTTCAGTGCAATATAATTTTTAACACTGATTTGCATTTTAAATTGTGTTAATAACTGGTTTTACCTTTTCCTTTTATAAGCAGAGGGAAATGACCTTTTCTTAATTATGATCATAGATTGAAGTTTATATTATGGATTGACCATATATATGATAAACTTATTTTTGTAAAAGAAAATTTGGAATCCCCAGTGTAGCAAGTCATGAAGAAAGGAAAACAGCACTCACAGATATGGTAGGAGAGGAAAGACAGGGTTGCTGGGGGGAGTTTCTATTGGGCTGACCTCTTTCACCTTTCCCCCAATTTCTTCTTCCTTTCTTTTTAGTGATTATATAAAATTTTTCTAAGATTCAAAGCAGACATAGGAATATAATGAAAGGAAGTGAAAAGCCCTCATTTGCTCCTCCTACTTCCTACTTTATTCTTTCCCTGTCCGTATCCTCCCAAACCCCACTATCTTCAGAGATAACTAATGTGAAAAATACTAGAAAAGCATCTACTTTACACCATCTGGAAGTTTAAAATGGTTAAAACTTGTCATTTTTGCATGTAGCTGTGACTAGGTTTTTTTTTTTTTCCTTCATATGAAAAGGACCAAATGTCCCAATATCAGTTACTGAGTGGTCTCTCCCAGCCTCACTCATTTCTGAAACCATCCCTATTATGTGCCAAATTCCCGTACGTCTGTGACTGACTTTTCTTTTCAGTGTCATTGATCTACATCTGCTCCTGTCAAATGCCAGTCTGTCTTGATATCTGATAGGTCACGCCCTGTGTGCTGTCTGCTTCTTTAAAAAAATTGTTTCCTTTTTTCTTTCTTTTTATTGTGCATGTGTGTATTTGAAATATTGTTTTACTTTTTTGGAGACTTTTATACATCCATATGCATTTTAGAATCATTTTGTTAAGTTCCCTAAAAAATCTTTTTATGATCTTTTTTTTTTTTTTTAAAGATGACCGGTAAGGGGATCTCAACCCTTGGCTTGGTGTTGTCAGCACCACGCTCAGCCAGTGAGCAAACCGGCCATCCCTATATAGGATCCGAACCCGCGGCCTTGGTGTTATCAGCACCGCACTCTACCGAGTGAGCCACGGGCCGGCCCTACTTTTTATGATCTTGATGTATATTTTATTGAATTTATAAAACAGTTTTGGGGGGATTGACATCTTTATAAAGTGAGCTTTTAGTAATTGCTAATGATATATACTTTGGGATTTCTGAAAGTTTATAACTCAAGGATGAACATGAAATTTTTTCTTTTTAAATTTTGGAAAAGATCTGTTCCTTCCATGGGGTCACCTTGCCACAATTTAAAAACTGGTTAAAAAAAATCAAACAAACCCCCAAACAGAATAAGACTATATTGACTCAAATCAAATTGATTATTAGACGAGAAAAATACTTAGTTTAAACTAAAGAACAGTCCTATTAAGGAGTAATGAGTTGTCTCAGCAGATGTGGATTGTGGTTACCTCAGTTCCTGTTCTGGTAAGAAAAAGCCAGTCTGGTGAATCTTTATTTGTTTTCAGTTTATGAATAGATGCCTTTTCGTTTTGAAGAGTGACCCTAGCTCCAAGGGATGACCAGATTACACATTTCTCACTAGGAGATACTGATTATGTGTATCCTGCACATTCGGGATTACTATTCCTCCCTTTGAGTCTAGAGCCCTTCCATATGGAACCCCAATATTGTCTTCCATTTTCTGACTTGTTTTGTCTACATCCTGTTTCCTTGCTTAATTGAACCCCACACTTTGTATGTTTTTATGTTGCTTTCTATATACTCTGAAGGTTTTATCACCTGCTTCTCTGAAAAGGTTGTAAACTGCAGACACTCTGTCTCTTCTGTAGCTTCTTACCTGGTGCCTTGGGTTGAATGTCCCCCCAAAACTTGACCCCCCACTGTGACAGTATTAAGAGGGTGGAAAATCGTTTTATGGAAATTGAAAGGTGGGGCATTGAAGAGGTGATTAGATTGCAGGACCATGCCGTAATGAAGGGATTAAAAATGGTGGTCACAGGTGTGGTTCCAAGGGCTTTAAAAAGAGAGGGAATGAGGTTAGTCTCCCTGCTTTCTCTGCCCCACCATCTTGCAATGTGAAGTGTCACTATCACCATGACCAGATGTGCTCCTTGGACTTTGGACTTCCCAGCCTTAGAAACTGTAAGCAATAAATTTCATTTTCTTTGTAAAATACCCAGTTCTGTATATTTTTTTGTAAGCAACAGCAACGGACTAATACACTGGGTGCTGCCTGGAGTGGCTGCACAGTGAGTATCCTTGGCCCACTGATCAGCTCTTCCAAGGGAGGGTCCTGGACAGTGAAGACTGTCCCATCTTCAGTTATACAATGACAGGAAAAGAAAGGACATCAGAGACCAGCTTGTCCAACCAATTCTTTCATTATTGCAGTTGAGGAGATGGAGGCCCCGGGAGAGTAGAGATTGCACAGCATTGACATTGACCATTTCTGGGTCCCGTGCTCTTGCACCAGGCCACCTTGCTTCTTAGATGGCCACTAGCTCTCTTGTTAATGGCTGAGGCTGCCCATGCTTCAGCACTTCTCTTTGGGTATCACTGCTTATCAGCTATGACTCACTATTCTAAAGCCAGTGTGGGAGTCAGCTTGGACTGCCATAGCAAAATATCACAGACTGGGTGACTTAAACAACAGAAATGAATTTCTCACTGTTCTGGAGGTTGGAAATACAAGGTCAAGGTGCCAGCAGGGTTGGTGTCTCCTTGGCTTTCAGATGGCCACCTTCTTGCTGTGTCTTTATGTGGCCTTTCCTCTGTGGTGCACATCCCTGGTGTCCCTACCTCTTCTTATAAGGACATCAGTCATATTGGATCAGGACCCTACCCTTATGACCTCATTTAACCTTAGTTACCTCCTTAAAAACCCTGTTCCCAAATACAGTCACGTTGGGAGTTAGGGTTTCAGTATATGAATTTTGGGGGGACACATTTCAGGCCACGACAGCCAGCTATATTTCTTTACCATGTACTCAAATATATTTGACTCTATTGCTTCTTTGGAACTATTGGGAGTTAGGGTTTCAGTATATGAATTTTGGGGGGACACATTTCAGGCCACGAAAGCCAGCTATATTTCTTTACCATGTACTCAAATATATTTGACTCTATTGCTTCTTTGGAACTTTTTGGAAACAGAGCTGAGGTCATTTCTAGATTTCTTTCACTTTTTTCTTCTCTTGGATATATTTGCCATCAGGTAAGCAGGATAAAATGTAGAAGCTAAATATGACATTTATTAATGTATAATGCAAATTACATAGTTTATAGGATTAATTATACATTAGAATATAGATGCTGGAATTTAGACTGAAGAGTTGTCAAGAGGAACACTGAGTCTCTCAGGCAGGGTATTGCAGGTGTTACTGTCTAGATGGGATCTGTGGCCCAAGATGCCATTTTTTAAAAACCATTGTTAGAAATTTGGATATATGTATATTTTTCTTGAGACAGGCTTCACAACTTTAATCAGAAACTGAAAGTGATGTATGACCTTTAAATTCAAGAATGATAGTTTGCCTTTGACAGTATTGAGTTCAAATTAATTTCTTAAATTGATGATTTTAAATTTTTTCTGTTACATAAGTAATGTGTGTCTTTGTTGACAAATTTCACATGGTTCAAAAATACAGTATAACAGGGTGTACAGTGAAAAATCTCCCACCTACTTTTGCCGTTAGGGAAGAAGCAGCCCAGTCCTGCTTCTCCTACCCCACAAAAAAAAAAAGTTTAAAAATATTTTTAAAATGTTAAATATAAATTAAATATTAAAAATAAAAATATTAAATAACAAAAAAAAAAAATGTTTAAAAATATTTTTAAAATGTTAAATATAAATTAAATATTAAAAATAAAAATATTAAATATTCAAAAATATTTAAAAGAAGATGTAAAATCTAATTATTTATTTCTTGTTTTCACCTCATCATGTGGCTTACAGAGAGCTTACATGAGGGGTGGGAAAGAGAGGTGTAGTTCTGTTTTCTTATTGTTTGCTTGTGCTTATATTATTAGTATTACCTACGGTTTATAGTTTCATTGTAGAAACCTTTTTAAGTTGCTTGTTCATTTTGTGAAGACTATTTTGGTTGCAAAAAGAAAATGTGATCTCTAAACCCACTTGGTAGTCATAAATCATATGTCGGATGTACTTGAATTCACGAGGGCAACATAGTCAGCTTCTCTCTTCTCAAAGTTGGCAATCAAGACCAAGAAAGGGTAATAGAGGCAATCTCTATTATCAAAAGTTTAACTTCCTGCTCATTTTTAAACATAACAATATAATAGGAGTTCTAATATTTTCTTGCCTTACCCCAATGGATTGTCATGCATTCTTCACTTTGCAGATCACTGCTCTAGAGTATACAATGAAGCTTATTTTATATCCTTGCTGATTTTATGTCTACTCTTTTTTTAATTGTTGTTGAAAGAGAAATATTGGAGTCTTAAAGTATAATTCTTTGTTTTGCCATAATACTTTACAAATACATTACCCGAATTTTTGTGTCTTCAGGGGTGTATGAATGTGTTAGTTTCATTATTACTTTATAAATGTTTAATACTGTAGTTTCAAATTATTTTGCTAATATTAGCAAGATTAAGGTTGAGGAGATTTATTAAATCTTCAATTAATAATTCCAGCAAAGGCAAACATTTTTATATGTAATAATTTATTTTTTGTTTTTCTTCTGGCCTGAATCATTTCAGGCTAAAATCACTTCAGGCTAGAATTAGCCTGAACTATCTCTTTGTATACAATGTGTATGCAGATGTATAATTTTTATCACAGAAAGTTTTAAAGTTCTATATATTCAAATTTTAATTTTTTCTTGTAATTCTTGTAATTTAATTTTTCTTGATGAATTGTTCCTAATTCATCAAAGATGAGTTCATCACATTTTCACGGATATGATAATTATTATATTTTCTGTTAGTTTTTACATAATTTTAGTTTTAAAATGGCTTAACGCTTTACTTTGTTTAATTTATTTTGTTGGGGGCTGGCTGGTTAGCTCAGTTGGTTAGAGCATACACGGTGTTGATAACTCCAGGGCTAAGGGTTCACATCCCTGTACAGGCCAGCCACCAAAAAAAAAAAAAAAAAGTCATCCTTGAAAATTAAATTGTATAGTAGAAATTATGGCTGTGTATAGGAGGGTACTTCAAAAAGTTTGTTAAGAAATAGAATTAAAAGATAATATGAATCTTTCTGTGAACTTTTTTTTTTAATTGGTGGCTGGATCTTTCCACTAACTTTTCGAAATACCCTTGTAAATAAAAAAAAATTTATATATTTTTTAAATGGCTAATTGTTTGCAAGAATATTTATTAAATATTTCTTCCTTTAACATTATATTATATATATTAATTTATCATTTGATTTACATTTAAATTCAAGTCTTTTTCATGGTTCTTTTCTGGTGATGGCTCTGTGTTTTCATATGTCTTTAATGTTGCACCTTGGTTTTGTGCTGGTTAACATTTCTTCATTTTGATGTGCATGTTGTGTTTTACGTGAGGACTTTTTTCTTACTTTCCTTAAGCATTGCATATTAGAGCATTTTTTTTAGATTTTCTGGTTAACAGCTTCATTGAGCTATACCTGACATACCATCAACTGCACATATTTAAAATATACAGTTAATAAGTTTATTTTTACCATCTTAATCATTTTTAAGTGTAAGGTTCAGTAGTGTTTAGTACATTCATATTGTTGTGAGATGGATTTCCAGAACTTCTTCATCTTGCAAAACTGAAATTCTATGTCTATTAAACAATAGTTCTCCATCACCTCTTCCTCAGCCCCTGGCAACCACCATTTTACTTTCTGTTTCGATGAATTTAACTACTTTAGATACCTCATATAAGTGGAATTATATGATGTTTGGCTTTTTGTGACTGGCTTATTTCAATTAGCATAAAGTCCTCAAGGCTCATCCATGTTGTAGCATATGTCAGAATTTCCTTCCTTTTAAAGGTTGAATAATATTCCAATGTACGTGTATACTACATTTTGTTTTCCATTCATCCATCGATGGACATTTGGTTTGCTTCCGCCTTGTGGCTATTGTGAACAATGCTGCTATGAACATGAGTGTGCAAGAAATTTTTAGTATTTTTTAAACATTCCCCAAATAATTGTAATGTGTAGCCAAGAGAGAGAAACAATGAGTGTTTATAAACTTAGAAGACAATACAATATTATACGTCTAACATAAATCTCGATGTGAAGTTTTAAGAATTGTTAATATATGGCATCTATATATTACTGTAGAAAAATGTAGAAAAATTGCATCTGTTTTCTGTTCTGAAGTTGCATTTTCTTCCCTGAATTGGAGGTGTTACTGTGGCCGATTGACTGGAGAGCATCATGGTATAGATTATGCCTGGACCATCTCAGCGGCTGAGGATAATAAAAATGAACAATGGTCTGTTGAAAAGCACACAAAGAAAAGCCCTACGGATACCTTTGGCACTATTAATTTCCAAGATGGAGAACACACCCACCACTCCAAGGTTTGCTAATAACCCTAATTGTTTTGCTAGTTTTGAACAGAGGATAACCTCCAAATGTATCTCCAAATTGTATCTCCAAGTGCAGATGAGCAGATAATGTTGCAGGGAACCCTAAGCGTTTTCTAATTGTTAAGCCTTTCCCCCTTTCCACTTGAGAAACTGTTTTAGAAACTCTATGCTTGACTGCCTTAACTGCAGACTCTGTCTGGCCTCTGCGACTTAGCTTGCATGCCTCCTGCACCCACCCCCTGTGAGTTAAGAGCAGTCTCACATCTCCCAAGGTCTGGATGCAAATTAGGCTCCAGAAGTGACCAATGGACTGTGTCTCATAATCAGCCAATCCAAATTAGCTGGACTGCATCCCTCATTTACATAAGAGGACCTGAATGGGAACTTGGGCAAGAAAAGAGTGGGAATTTAGGCTATACAAGATGGTCTTTTCCTTTGTTCTGGGAGATACTGGTTTAGGAGTTTTTGCTCCCCAGTGCTCTCCTTGCTTGCAAGCAAAAAGAGGCACTGTAACACTGAACAAAGAGCTGCAACATTAAAATAAAAATCTATAAAAACTCCAACACTGATGCTGGTCTTGGATTCCTCTGTGTGTTTGCCCCACGACAATGACCTGACCAGTTTTATTGCAAAAGTGATCCATTTTATTGACTCCCTTGCCCAAAATGGCTTGACCCTCTCTTTCCTTTATGTTTCAGGGGCATGTACCTTTCCCAGGTGTGGTGTGGCCAGCTCTTTATTTGACCTTTTTCTTTCTGCAAGTTTCCTTGAGACAATTGCCAAAGTTCTGCTTTTTCCTTAAGGAATGCAGAAAAGTTACTGCCAAGGAGCAGGCATTAGCTGAAGCATGACCATAGCAGTTACCAGGACTGTGTGACTGTTCACATCTCCCAAATTCTTGTGAGAGCCTCTTCTCAGGAAGGATATGGGGGAATTTCTCTCTGCATCCACTACATATCATAATACTTGGGTTTCCCAGGCCAGTTTTCCTCCTGTCCCTAACATGGTAATTTTGCCTGGTTTGCATAGTATTGACAGGTCCACTATCCCTCAGGTGTTTTCTCTTGAGCATGTTAATTACCTGCTGCTCCATTAGAGGCAGCTTTCTTTGGGGAAACTGCAGGTGGGGCCCACCTCAGGAAAGCTCTGAATCAGCTGCACCCTGGAGTGTGACCGTCAGTGGGTTGGATTTGAAACACAAGTTCCAATAGCGCAATCCTGATAAAATTTCATAATACAGTTTTACAATCATATACATTTCTGGTGATTAGTCTTCTTGAGTTTAACTTTGTGTGTCGTTTTCCGTAGTTGGCAGGAAAAGTGTCCTCATTCCCCTCTCCAATCCTTTTTGAAAATTGATCGATATGGAATCCTCCCACCTCTTTCCACAAAGGATTTGAGGTGAATCTCACCTGTAGCAGTTTTCCAAAGGGACTTAGATGTCAAGAATGTAGAGGGTAAAGAGTAAGTCATTAACCTCTACTGCAGTCTTCAGTTGGCCTTTGGGTGGAGAAGATTCTAGTGCTGATAATTTAGTTTGTCAAGGTTGTTTATCTTGGGCCGGCCCGTGGCTCACTCGGGAGAGTGCGGTGCTGATAACACCAAGGCCCTGGGTTCGGATCCCGTATAGGGATGGCCGGTTAGCTCACTGGCTGAGCGTGGTGCTGACAACACCAAGTCAAGATCGATATGGAATCCTCCCACCTCTTTCCACAAAGGATTTGAGGTGAATCTCACCTGTAGCAGTTTTCCAAAGGGACTTAGATGTCAAGAATGTAGAGGGTAAAGAGTAAGTCATTAACCTCTACTGCAGTCTTCAGTTGGCCTTTGGGTGGAGAAGATTCTAGTGCTGATAATTTAGTTTGTCAAGGTTGTTTATCTTGGGCCGGCCCGTGGCTCACTCGGGAGAGTGCGGTGCTGATAACACCAAGGCCCTGGGTTCGGATCCCGTATAGGGATGGCCGGTTAGCTCACTGGCTGAGCGTGGTGCTGACAACACCAAGTCAAGGGTTAAGATCCCCTTACCGGTCATCTTTTAAAAAAAAAAAAAAAAAGGTTGTTTATCTTGAAATCTCTAGAAGAATTATCTTCTAGGAGTAATGAACCTTACAGTTGAAGGGGAGGGGCACCTGCGAGATAGAGTTGGGTTCAGAGAAAGTCAACTAAACCAGAGCTGGCTCCTCTGCCCTTATTCATTATTCGGAATAACAAAAACCATTTCACAAGGGTCAACTTGTATTTTTTCCTACTATTTTAATATGTGATAAAGCCATGGCAGCTCAGTTTCCTTGCTTGTAAATTGAATCCTGATTCTTGTTGCTATTACTTACATTTTCTGATAGCAGGACCATCCCAGTGTTCAGGAATTCTAATATTTTAATTATATAATAAAGTTTATATATTAAGAAATTCAAAGATGAATGGAGAATTGTTTTAAATTGCTGTCATATTCTGGAGGATATTGTGATCATTTCCATTTGCATGTATGGAGATCTCCACCTGTGGTTATTTTTAGTATAGTTTTATAATTTGTGGTTTTTTATGACCTTTATTTCTTCCTATATGTAAGGCTTGTTCTTGCTGTTGGTTGGCATACGCTTGAGGAAGGCAAACTCATCTTCATGTGATTTGAATGTCTGGATGTGATTGCATTTGCTGGAAAAAGAAAGCCAGTCCTGCAATGTAATCTTAGGCAAAATGCAAAATGATTCTGGAGCCACCTGCTGATTTGGATTTCCCTCCTCTTTTCTTTTGGTTACATTGGTTATTCAGAGATGACTGTTTTGTGAAAAGTACTTATTTTGGGAAAAAAAAGTTTTTAGAGAGATAATGATATACAAGAGTACTTCAAAAAAGTTTGTGTAAAAATAGAACTAAAAGATATATGAATCTTTCCACGAACTTTTTGAAGTATCATCATATAAAGAAAATGGTTAGGAGGTAAAATTTATGATCAGTTAAATGTACATGCTTCTGAATCTTAATTTAAATTATGTAAATATGTGAAAAGGTTAAGTAAATTAAAAGCCTTAGCATTTATGAAAAATTCCATTTTACCCATTTCTTAAAGCATTTTATTAACGGGTTTGCTGATTAGTGCTTTTAGTTGTTTGAAGCATTTCTGCCTCACCTCAGGCCTTCTGGAGAACATTGGTTGGCCAACCCTGAAAACCAGAGGAAGCTTCCTACAGTGACTTGTAATCCCCAAAAGTAACTTAAAGGGGTGGGGTGGGATCTTTTAAAAATAACCATTTTCATTACACAGAGATGAGTATTTAAAGAGATCCCAGACACTTCCGTTCTGGTTTTGGCCATTTCTGTTGCCCTGCTGTGTGCTCATTGTTTCTATACAGGTGTGTATTTTTCATTCTTTTCTGTTCATGTGTATGTGCATGTCTTCCAGTATATTAGAACTTCTTACGATACAAAATCGGATCATCTGTTACATTTAATGTTGAAAGAGTGGAAGATGGAACTGCCAAAGCTGGTAATCTCTGTCCACGGGGGCATCCAGAACTTTAAGATGCCCTCCAAACTTAAGGAGGTCTTCAGCCAAGGTTTGGTCAAAGCTGCGGAGACGACAGGAGCGTGGATAATCACCGAAGGCATCAATACTGGTAAAGCACACTCTCTTCTCGCTTCCCTTCCCTTCCCTTCTCTTCTTTTCCCTCTTCCTAATTGCAGATCAGACAGTGTGGGTCCTGTGAAAAACCTACTGACTGGGAAACAAATCCAGAAGAATCACAGGCCTTCCCTGGAATGTGGTTTTACCACTGTCAAGATAGACTATTTTGGGCTGGCCCGAGGCTCACTCGGGAGAGTGCGGTGCTGAAAAGACCAAGGCCCCGGGTTCGGATCCCATAGAGGGATGGCCGGTTCGCTCACTGGCTGAGCGTGGTGCTGACAACACCAAGCCAAGGGTTAAGATCCCCTTACCAGTCATCTTTTTTTTTTTTTTTTTTTTGTCCTTTTTGTCTTTTTTCGTGACCGGCATCGGATCGCAACCCTCAGTGTCGCGCCCATACCGGACCGGGACCAGCCACGGGATCACAACCCTCGGTGTTGCTCCTACACCTCGCTCAGCCAGTGAGCGGCCGGTCTGTATGTGGGATCCGAACCCTCGGCGGGAGCGCCACCGCGCTCCCAAGCGGCGCACTGTAGCAGTGCGCCACTGGGCCGGCCCCCAGTCATCTTTTTATTTTTTTTTTATTTTTATTTTTTTTTAAAAGATAACCGGTAAGGGGATCTTAACCCTCGACTTGGTGTTGTCAGCACCACGCTCAGCCAGTGAGCGAACCGGCCATCCCTATATGGGATCCGAACCCGTGGCCTTGGTGTTATCAGCACCGCACTCTCCCGAGTGAGCCACAGGCCGGCCCCCCCAGTCATCTTTTAAAAAAAAAAAAAAAAAAAGACTATTTTAACATAACTTTGGGTAGACCTCTGGCAAAGAAGGTAGTCTTTCCTGAGCTTCAGACTATGAAGTGACATCAAATCCATGCAAGTGTAGAGTATTTGTGGGCCTGGACTAAACTCATGTGTCATTGTCATGTTCTCAGGTGGGAAATCAGTGATATGCGCAAAAATTGCAGTTAGTGTATTGGTAGATAATTACTTCTTCGTTGTTTTAACTACTTGATTGCCAGTACACTGTCTCTGTCACAGTACTCCTTGAAATCAGACATTCAAAACTTCATATGGTGATCTCTGAACCTATTCCTTTGCATCAGTCGTTATGAACTATCTGCCCATTGGAATCACCTGGGGAGCTCTTAAAAAATGCACACAGAGGCTCTCCCCTAGATGAATTAGAGGCTCTCAGGGTAGAGCTTTTGCAGCATGTCTAAACAGGACTGAGAACTACTGACTCTATCGTACCCATCTGTTACTAATCTGTGGTTTTCCATCTTCCCTTTACTTTCCTCTTCTTTGATTTGGGATGCCCTAGCCAATGTCTACTATTAAATCTGCCCATCCTTTAAGATCTACACTACATGCCAACACATCTCTGAAGCAGCCCGTGAACATCTCAACCACAGCTGCTCACTTTTGTCTCTTAATTTCCGTAGCACTTATTTCTAGTGGCAGTTGTAGCTTGTGTATATTTTGGCTCGCAGGTTAGGATGAGACTGTGAATTAAGTCTCCTTCTTAGTTGTCTACCAGAAGCCAGGCCTCCACATCTGCCTAAGCATTTAGCAACACGTAGTGATTTAACAATTTCTGTTGCCCGAGAAGGAATGAAGGAAGTAAATGACTGAAAAAACAAAGCAAAATAGAACAAAAGGATCTGGCCTGGCACGAATAGGTAATCTGGTAGTTCGTCTTGTATATTTCATAGAGATCATTATTTTTTAACATTTTTGGAAGAAGCTGAAGGTGGCAGAGTTTTAAGTCCATTGTATAGTGATTATTTTATTTCCAGGGAAAAAAGGGTGGGGCAGAGAAGTTTTGCAGAGTTCAGAAGAAGGTAGACGTAGGCAAACCTCTTTCTTTGAAAACTAACTCTGTTGCATGCTTTATTTTACTTACTGCTTTTTAAAAAAGAATTAGGTTAGGGCCAATCAACTTAAAAGAACACAAATACAATAGTGTGAAGATGATTGAAATAATTCATTTGAACAGAAGAAATGGGAAATGAGAAATTGACGCTCCCCTCAGCAAGTCATTCCTCCCGGATTCAACCACACCTCCTCTGGGGCCTGACTATTCCAGGGGTGTCTTTGCAGTAGCAGCAGCAGCACCTGAGAGCTTGTTGGAAATGCAGATCGCAGGCCCCACCTCAGACCTGCAGTATCAGAATCTGCATTTTAGCAACATCCCTAGAAGATTCTTAAATGCATTTAAATTTGAGAAACTCTGCTTTGAGCTTCTGTCTATTCTTGAGACTACAGCTGAACATAATTTGGCATGAGTCTTTGACATTTACTTAAATCGAATGCCACAGGCCTTAAGAATCTGCTATGTAGAAAGTATTTGATAGGTGCTGTGGATGAAAGATGGGTGATATGGGCCCTGGGTTTAGTTACAGAGGTGGGCTGTGACAGACAGACAAAAAAGCAACTAACTAGAAATTGATGCTGACGAGTTATAGTCGTGATACAAAAAAAGTGTTTGGGAGTACAAGGAAGAGAGGGAGATGAATTCCAGTTTCCACCGAGGGCACCTTGGAAGGCTTGGAGAAGGATATAGCACTTGGCATTGGTCTTGAGGGAAGGATAGGAAGAGGCATTGTAGGCAGAGGGGGCAGCTCAGGGGCAGGTGCACCATTGGAGATGAGGGCACAGGTAGAAAGAGGTGATGAGGCTGGAGTGTGTGCCATGTGACAAGGGACAGGGACAGCAAGGGAGCTGGAGCCAGACTGGGTGCCATGCTGATGGGCTGAGGTTTTATTCTCTGTGTGGCATAGAGCCCTCAAAGGATTTCAAACAGGAGAATGAATAGAGGAATGACGGTCAGATGGGGGTTTTACAGAGTATCAACAGACTATATGCATTAGGATCACCACCATAATGCTGGCAAATCAAGGTAAACCTATGGAATTAAAATCTCTACTGGGGTGGATGGCTCCACAGTTGATATTGGTGTGCCTGTGGTGCAGAACCCAGATTCTTGAGATGACTCTGGGAGAGGTTCAGAAAATGGGTTGGAGGGGAAGATGCCAGAGACGACAAAATGATTTAGGTGCTATGCATCAGATACATGCACTAGGCAGAGATGTTTTCTTTTCTGCGCTAATGACACATATAGGGTCAGTACAGTTGTCCCTCAGTATCTGCTGGGGACTGGTTCCAGGACCCCTTTGGGTAACAAAATCTGCGGATGCTGAAGTTCCTGATATAAAATGGTGTAGTATTTGCATATTACCTATGCACATTCTCCTGTATACTTTAAATCATCTGTAGATTGCTTATGATACCTAATACAATGTAAATGCTATATAAATAGCTCTTATACTGTATTATTTTTTATTTGTATTATTTTTGTCATCGTATTGTTATTTTTCATTGTTTTTTTTTTTTTCCAGACATTTTTGATCTGTGGTTGGTTGAATCCATGGATGTAGAACGCTGGGATACAAAGGGCTGACTTTATTTTACATAGAAAGAGTAAATCTTACAATTCAGTGCTGTGATTAAAGATCATATGAAGGGGCCAGCCTGTGGCTCACTCGGGAGAGTGCGGTGCTGATAACACCAAGGCCACGGGTTCGGATCCTATATAGGGATGGCTGGTGTGCTCACTGGCTGAGTGTGGTGCTGACAACATCAAGCCCAGGGTTAAGATCCCCTTACCAGTCATCTTTAAAAAAAAAAAAAGAAAAGAAATAAAGATCAGATGAAGCCAGGCTCAAAAGGCTACTTACCATACGAGGGATCTTCAAAAAGTTCTTGGGAAGATTCATATTATTTTTTAATTCCAGTTTTACATGAACTTTTTGAAGTACCCTCATATGATTTCAACTATATGACATTCTAAAAAAGGCAAATGTGTGGAGACAATAGAAAGATCAGTGGTTGTCAGGGGCTAGGGGGAGGGAGGGATGAGTAGGCAGAAAACAGAGGATTTTCAGGGCAGTGAAACTTTTCTTGATGATATTACAATGGTGGATACGTGTCAAAACTTATAGAATGTCCAACACCAATAGTGAACTCTAATGTAGACCATGGTCTCTAGGTGATAATGAGTGTGACACTGCAGGTTCATGGATTGTAACAAATGTACTGCTCTGGTGGGGGACAGTGTGGGGGGGCGTGTTTGTGTGGGGCAGGGGTCTATGGGAACTCTCTGTACTTTCCATTCAGTTTTTGCTGTGAACCTAAAATGCTCTAAAAAATGAACTGTAGTAAAAAAATAGTTAGATTACCTAGGTTGGAATCCAAGCTCTACAAATTCCCAGCTCTATAACCTCGGGCAATTTACTTAACCTCTGTACCACATTTTTTTTTGCCTATAAAATGGACTAAAGAAAGTTCTCACTTAAAGTGTGGACACATAGATCGCGCTTTCCCACACTGACTGAATTCTTACTATGTGCCAGTGAGTGTTGGCTGCTATCATTAATGTTATTATTATTAATCTCAGGAGGGCAAACATTAATGTATTACTCTTTTATAGATTAGCTCTGGAATGTTTATGTATAGAAAGCCATTAAAATAGTTTGTCTTAAAGAAGTAAAGGACACATGTGCAGGATGTTTTGCTAGGACATTGGAGAAGATTAGACAAATATATTTAGAACCTTCACGATGTCAGGGCTGGGCTTGCTGAGAAAGGACAATGCACAGAACATTGTTGTCGGGCAGGAGTAGGGTCGGAACTGAGGTTGTAGGCAGAGGTTGCCCAAAGGAAGAGGTGAATTGTTCAGGTAGAGAGGTCAGTGGTAGAAGAAAGAGGTGGTGAGAAAGTATAAAGGAAGCCAAGATACCAGAAACGATTCCACTGTGTGCACCTTTCCCTCAGAAAAGCCCTTTGCAAATACCTGTTTGTCACTTCCTGGTGGTCACAGTGTTTTGCATAATTTGTGAGTTAAAGTTTGACTTCTAAACTGGTTGTTCCTAGGAGTGTCCAAGCGTGTTGGGGATGCCCTGAAAGCCCATTCCTCTCAGTCCTTGAGAAAAATCTGGACAGTTGGAATCCCTCCTTGGGGTGTCATTGAGAACCAAAGAGATCTTATTGGAAAAGATGTAAGTAGACAGTCTTTTCACAATAAAAGGAAATAAACATGTATCCAAATTGCCAACATGACACTGTACCTGGCTGTCTAATACACGTCACAAATGTAACATATCCAAAACCAACTCCTGACTTTCTGATACTTCCCTCACCCTATCTCAGAAAATGACAACTGCATCCAAGCCAAAAACCTTGGACTAATCCTGGAATGATCTTTGTCTCTTGCGTTAAACCTGATCATTAATCAATAAACTATCTGAGCTCCACTTTTAAAACACAGGTCTCCTCTCATTACCTCCACTGTTACTGAGCAGGTCCATTATCTGCCACCCGAAGGATAGAATAGGCTTCCTGACTCTTACACTTGTTTCCTATTCCAGTCGATTTCCAACACAGAATGATTCTTCTAAAATATAAATCAGATCACGCTATTCCTGTGCACAAAACCCTTCAATGTCTCCTGTCTCGTTGGAGTAATAGCCAAGGTTCTTGCAGTGGTTTGCACCTACTGAAACAAGAGACATTCTTAACTTGGCCCTTCCTGGTTCTCTTCTCTTGTCTCCTATTACTCTCTGCTTCATTCATTCTTGTGTGTTGATTCTTTGATCCTGCCTATGTGTGCTTTTAAGGGGAAGGAATGTGTCTAAGTCAGATTGTAAGACTAATATGTTTTTGGTAAAAGATAACAGACTTTAGAAACGGTATAAAGAAGAAAGAGAACTTTAATATTTTGGGGTGTATCATCCTACAATTTTTTCTATGTATGTGTGTATATGCATAATAAAAAGAAATGTGCATTTAAAAAAAGTAACAGACAACCAGGCAAGCAATAGAGCCAGCCGCCTGGGGTCCTGAGATCCCAGCTGTGGGCCAGCCCCAACCCCACAACACCGTCTTAGAACGTTCTTATTAGCCATGTGTGTTTCTTGGGGGGGGTGTGACTTATCTGCTCATCTCCTTTACCAAATTTCTGCTTAGATTTTTCTAACTCATTTTAAAGAGTTCATTTGCATTAAGGATGTTAATCTTTGAGTGTTAAATTTGTTCCTTATCAATTGAATTTAAATTTAATCTGTGATGTTTTCCTTTGTTTCTATGTTGAGAAAATGATTTTCTAGCTAAACATTAAATAAAAAAAAATAAGAAAAATAAAAAAGTAAGAGAAACCCATTGCTACAAATCTGCCTTTTTAGCTTAACTATTTAACATAGTTTTTTCTCTATGCCAATTAACACAAACATGCTTATGGTTTATTTTGACTTTTATTTTGAAAAATTTCAAACATATTAAACAGTAGAGAGATTAGAAGACTGAACTTCCATGAATCTATCTCCCAGTGTCAACAGTTACAAACTCATAGCCAATTTTATTTCCTCTGTTCCCTTATCAATTCCCAACCAACCCCTCCATTATTTATTTTTTATTTTTCTTGGCCAGTAGGGGGGTTGAACCCTGGACCTTGGTGTTACCAGCACCTCTAACCAGCTGAGCTAACTGGCCAGACCTTCACCCTTTGAAGCAAATTTCGCACATCAAATAATTTCATCTGTAAATATTTCAGTAGGTATTTCTAAAATAGATGGACAATTAAATTTGTTTTTTTCTTTTCTTTATTTTTTGTGATGGACAATTTTAAAAAATATAATCACAATGCTGTTATCCTACCTAAAAAATTGACAATAGTTCCTAAGTAACATCAACTCACCAGTTTAGTCAAGTTTTTTATTGTCTAATAATTTTTAAATTGTCTGATTTTATTATCCAAAGAAGTTCCATACACTGTGATGAGTTGATATGTCTCTTTTCTTCTTTTTCTTTAGTTACTTTTAATTTGTGGGGTTTCCCTCCATTTTTTCTTCAATTTATTTGTTGAAGAAACTGGGTCATTTGTCCTGAAGAGTTTCCCCACACTTTGGATTTTCCAGATTTAGCCTTTTGTAGTAGGGTTCAGCATGTTTCTCTGTCTCCTGTCTTTCCTGTAAATTGATAGTTTGATCTAGAGGTATGTTCAAGTTCCTTTTGTGCAGGTTTATGCCATAGGAGGAGGTGTGTCTTTTCCTTGTAACATATGAAGGTCTCTCTATGATTTAGTTAGTGGTCATTGCCTACATTCATTATTTCAACAGGGTTGTGAAATGCTGATATGTAATTACAGTGTTCTTTCTTCATTTAATAGCTTTAGTACTCTATAAAGAGAAACATTTTCTCATCACCACTTGTTTTATCCTGTGTTACAGTTGTACAGAAATGGCAGAATAAATGCTTGATTCTTTTTTTTTATTTTTTAAATTTTTTTTTTTTATTTTTTAAATGCTTGGTTTTCTTTTTATTTGCTAGTTTTAAAAATAATGAGGTGGTTACCTACCATTCTCCAAAGATGAATGATGAGTTTTTGGGTTTTTTTTAAACTCATGAATTTAAACATATTTGGTGTGTTTCAATTTATTAATCATTACAGTTATTATTTTTAATCATGCTTAAATTGTCTCATTTTGGCCAATGGAGCCTTCTCAAGTTGTCTTCTGAGTCCTTTTGCACAATTCTATCATCTTTTTTTAACTTCCTTGCTTTTTAGTGTGAAAAAATATTCCAGGCTTATTGTGTATATTTTTTTGCTCTCTAGAGAAATAGCTGGTTGCTTTTAGTGGGACATAGTGTTAGGAGACTACACTGTGAGGGCTAAGGGTGCATTTTCATTTTTCATGAATGATAGTATTCTACTATACCATAATTTAATCAACTATTTATTATTGTCCATTTAGGTAGTTTTCTATTTTTCACTTTTAGAGACAATAATGTTAGTATTGTGATAAGATGTATAAATCTTTGGTACTAGCTTGCATATTTACCTAGACATAATTCTCAGAGTGGAATGCTTGGGTCAGTTGATATGTCCATTTAAAAAATGTGACATGTTGCCTTCCAGAAAAGTGGAAACGATTCACATTCTTACCAACAGGGTGTGCGGAAGCCCATTTCCCTGGATCTTTGCCAGTTCTGGGTATTCTGGCTTTTTCAAACTTTGTCATTCTGATAGATATAAAATAATACCTAATTGTTTCTATTTACATTTTTTGATTGCTAATGAGGGCAACCGCTCTTCACATGGTTTTTGTGCACTATCAAGCAGGGTTTTTATACTTACCTTTGAAAGGCCTTTTAATTATAATTCAGCTTAGTAACAGTTTTGTTTGTCATTTATACTGTATTTTCCCCATATTTATTTTATATTATTTATGGCCATTTTTCCATAAATATAAAACGTGTATTAAACCTATCATTTTCTTTTTGGCTTCTGGCCTCAGAGTCATGCTTTGGTATTATAAAGGTCACTTTTAAAGTTTAATGTTTGTAAAATTATAGTGTTTTTTATGTCCATTATTTCTTTGAAGCTTCATAACAATGCTCTGATGCAGAAATTACCATCATCCTCACTTATAAATAACAAAAATAAGCCTGAGAATAGAGACAGAAATTACTCAGAGTTAAAGTAGTAAGTAGAAGAGTCTGGACTTAAACTTGGGCTCTCCGATACCAAATACTGGGCTCTTGAATCTAAAGGCAAATAAGATTTGGAGCAGCTTAAGGAGTGTACGTAAATGTAATAAAGATCTTGATGTTTTATATTGAGCGAAATGCCATTTGGCTGGTTGGCTGTTACTCTTCATTTCATTTGGAATACTAGAAAAACATCAGTGTCAAAATATCATTCTGGAATAGATCTACTGAAAGGCAGTATGTTTTTGGACAACGGTGTGGTCTATGTACAGGTGCCAGTCCTAGAACTGTGTTTTAATGGTCTGAAACAAGGTAAGTACAGAAATAGAAAGTAACTGTTTGAACCATTGCTAGCAATGTCACTGTGCTGTGACATCCAAGTGCTTGGTCACTGGGCTTATCTTGCTGAAAGTGGTATGTGCGGGTGTTGTTGAACCTGTGAGTCTCATGTACCATGAGCTGCAATCTAGTCATGCATGGTAGGACCACATTTTGTTCCATAAAAAATGGGAAATTAAAAAAAAAAAGTTGATTCTTCACAAACAGTTTGAGAAGCACTGCTGTAAGCAGCAAATAATACTTTTTAACTTCTACAGGAATTCTGTCAGTGCATAGAGACAGGCCTTTGGAGTAACTGAGCCTGGGAAGGACCTCGAGCTCTGATCCTCTCTTGTGCTTGGTGTCTCTCAGGTGGTGCGCCTGTACCAGACTCTGAGTAACCCCCTCAGCAAGCTCACCACACTCAACTGCATGCACTCACACTTCATCCTGTCTGATGATGGGACCGTGGGCAAGTATGGAAATGAAATGAAGCTCAGGAGGAACTTGGAGAAGTACCTCTCTCTGCAGAAGATACACAGCCGTGAGTCCCAAGGGGCTCAATCAGCAGGACTCCCTGGTCATTTCTTTTTGCCTTCCTTGCTTTAATAAAGTAATATATACTCATGATAAGAAATTCAAACAGTGAAAAATGGAATAAATTAGAATATAAAAGTCTTTAACTGCCATTAAAAGTTTATTGAATTGGCAAAACCTTGATCATTTTTGGAGACAAGTGATGGACACATTGAGATCCATTATATCATTCAGTTTACTTTTAGATACATTTGGAATTTTCTACAATGAGCATGATAAGAAATTCAAACAGTGAAAAATGGAATAAATTAGGATATAAAAGTCTTTAACTGCCATTAAAAGTTTATCGAATTGTCAAAACCTTGATCATTTTTGGAGACAAGTGATGGACTCATTGAGATCCATTATATCATTCAGTTTACTTTTAGATACATTTGGAATTTTCTACAATGAGAAGTTAAAATTTCTTGAGGACTTCTTATTTATTTATTTATTTATTTATTTATTTATTTATTTTTTTAAAAGATGACTGGTAAGGGGATCTTAACCCTTGGATTGGTGTTGTCAGCACCACGCTCAACAAAGTGAGCAACCAGCCATCCCTATATGGGATCCGAACCTGCGGCCTTGGTGTTATCAGCACCACACTCTCCCGAGTGAGCCACGGGCCGGCTCCAATTATTTATTTATTTATTGATTGATTATTGAAACCCTTTAGCTAACCTTTTTTTACCTGGCAAAAGCTTGGAAAGGCATTTGCTGCATTTATGCTATGTTTTATTTGGAGTCCAAGCTTTTGGTTTGGTCTTGATCTAAGAAGCCCAGGCTATGTAAGGGAGAGGAGCTAGCGGAAGGAATGAAGATCTTTGGTAACTGAGGGACTTGTGTCTGGACATCAAAGTGGCTTACTGGCCAAGCCAGGGATCCTCTGTAACAATTTGGTATTGCTTGTGATCTGAAATAGGCTCAAGACAAGGTGTGCCCGTGGTGGGGCTGGTGGTGGAAGGAGGTCCCAATGTCATCCTCTCAGTGTGGGAGACTGTCAAGGATAAAGACCTGGTGGTGGTGTGTGACGGCACAGGCAGAGCTGCCGACCTCCTGGCCTTCACCCACAAACACTTAGCAGATGAAGGGTGAGTTGGTGATTCTTCCTTTTTGAAACTATGGTACCTATTTATTCCTTTGTTCTAGTTCTTTAAGCTGTGCAGTTATGTGGGCCACATGTCCTTGGAGGTTGAGACTGGAGTGTATTTTTCAGTGATTTTGAATTTGTTGATCAGCATCCAAGTGTCCTCCAATGATGATTGTTTTTTCAGCTGAAGAATGAATGGCCTGCCTTTAACAGGGAGGCTTGAACCTTGAGTCTTGTCTGAGCTTTGGGGGGCGGGGGAAAGGCATTTTTAGGGGAGTGAAGGAGGAGATGTTTGTGCAATTGACTATTATAGCCGAAAGAACTCTGTGATGTGGAAGGTGACCAGAGTTAGCCCCAGATCACCTTCAAGTTCATTCTCCATTAACAAAAATAGCAGGAACTGGGGAAATTGATATCCTGGCATTTGCATAGCATATGTTGTGCTTACTTCAGGCTTTAATTCTTTCCCTTTTTCAAGTAAAAAGATAGTTTTTCTCCAGCCATACCTATATCCAGTGTGATTCTTCCAGTTTCAAAAGCATGTATTTTTTACCATGTGAATAAATACGGTGCCTAGTAACTACGTAAAACGTTGATCCTCTAACTTAGTAAACATTTATTCACTGTTTGTGTTCTCACAGCTCTCTGGGGTTCTTTCCGCACAATTTCCTTCCCCATTCAGTCCTCAGCCCTCTACTTGTGGCCTCAACTCCTCCCCATCCTTTCACACCTCTCCCTTTCCTAAAGTCACCCCGGATGAGTGGTTCTTAACTCTTTTGGGGTTTTATTTATTTTTTGTTTGTTTACTTTGGTATGGAATCCAAACCCTTTACCTTGGTGTTATCAGTACTATGCTGTCCCAAGTGAGCTAACTGGCCAGTCTCTCCTTTTGGGGTTCTAGATCCTTTTGAGACTGGATGAGTGGTTCTTAACTCTTTTGGGGTTTTATTTATTTTTTGTTTGTTTACTTTGGTATGGGATCCGAACCCTTTACCTTGGTGTTATCAGTACTGTGCTGTCCCAAGTGAGCTAACTGGCCAGTCTCTCCTTTTGGGGTTCTAGATCCTTTTGAGACTATGATGCCCATAACTTCTGGAGATTCATGGCCCTCCAGAAATCTATCAGCTCAAGAGCTCTCTATGATGCCCATAACTTCTGGAGATTCATGGCCCTCCAGAAATCTATCAGCTCAAGAGCTCTGCCCCAGAGTGTATTCTTTTCAGAGTTGTGACAGATCCATCCATTCTCACTTTCAAATTCAGCCTTCTCCAGGGCCCCGCTTTTGCTTGCTTTCTGCCCATTTGCTTTCTTGGTAGAATTGTCTGTAGACACCTTCCTGATCAGGTGGGGCAGATGGGTTCCTTGTACTTATGTGTTGGCTTGTTCTCTTCTCTGCAATGTGTCAAGTCATGACCATTCATTTCTCTCCCAGGATGCTGCGTCCTCAGGTGAAAGAAGAGATCATTTGCATGATTCAGAACACTTTCAACTTTAGTCTGAAACAGTCCAAACACCTTTTCCAAATTCTAATGAAATGTATGGTGCACAGGGATTGTGTGAGTATGATGACTGATGATTCAACTAACTTAAAAAAATGCTGATTTACAAAAATTGGAATATTTATTTATTCCAATAAATATTTCCTGAGTAGACTCAGGAAAAGTTTTTAGTGTTTTAGGGTACTGCGATCAAAATTTTTTCAATGACTTGGATAATATGAAGCTGATAATTATAGTAAATATGCAGATATGTCATGATTCAAAGAGACCTTTCCAGGATTTGAAGGCTGGACCAAATCGTACAATAATTTTGGTAATATTTAAGTACCTAGCCTCAAAAAACCAGTTGAGAAAGTTCAGGCTGGAGAAAGCATGGCAAAACATATGTGAAAAATGCTTTGGGGTTTTAGTTGACTGAATTACAACAATAACAGCCGTGTTTACACTTAGCAGTGTGCTTCCAAATACATTTTTCATCTGAAATAGCCTGGTGAGTGAGTTCAATATCGCACTGGTTGTTTATTTCCATTTCAGAGATGATGAAGCTGAAGACTAGAGAATTTAAGTGATTTGCACAGTCATGCAGTTAAGAAATGGTAGAACTGAAACTTGAGGTCAGAGTTGAAACGTTGTTCTTAGTCTCCTATGCTATATTTTTCCCACAATAACCAGTAAGTTAAGAACAGGGCATGTTAGAGAGATTGTCCTTCTGTGTGCCTCTTCCTGTCATCAATTAGAGTAATTAATGAGCAGTGCAGTGATCAAGCGTGGGAAAGAGAAGGCAGCTAAGGGTTTGCACATTGCAGGAACTGGGTTCTCACCTCCTGTACAATGGAGGGTTGATTTTATTCATGCACATGGAGGAGATGTTAGGTGAAGGGAACCAACCTGTGAAGTTGAAGAAGCATAGTTTTTACATCTTTATGGGACCTTAGAGATTATTCATTGGGTTCCTATCATTTTGTGGATGAGGAGCCTGAGATTCATTGGCCTGAAGGCATTTATCCTTCCCCTTCTAAAAGCACTCAATGGCCTTTTTCTAATGACCCTCTGAGCTGTCCAGAAAGGACACAGGAAAAACACCACTTTTGGGTGAAGTGACAGCATGTTGTGTTGTTTTGCTTCAATTGGTGGTGTGACAGGTGAAGGAGAGGAAAAAAAAAAAAAAAGGAAAAAAAAGATATCTGCCCAAGGCTGGCTAGTTAGTGGCGTACCTGAGACTAGGACTTGCCAGTCTTGGGTTTTCTGTTAAACCAACTCCCTCTACTATGNGTTTTTCTCCAGCCATACCTATATCCAGTGTGATTCTTCCAGTTTCAAAAGCATGTATTTTTTACCATGTGAATAAATACGGTGCCTAGTAACTACGTAAAACGTTGATCCTCTAACTTAGTAAACATTTATTCACTGTTTGTGTTCTCACAGCTCTCTGGGGTTCTTTCCGCACAATTTCCTTCCCCATTCAGTCCTCAGCCCTCTACTTGTGGCCTCAACTCCTCCCCATCCTTTCACACCTCTCCCTTTCCTAAAGTCACCCCGGATGAGTGGTTCTTAACTCTTTTGGGGTTTTATTTATTTTTTGTTTGTTTACTTTGGTATGGAATCCAAACCCTTTACCTTGGTGTTATCAGTACTATGCTGTCCCAAGTGAGCTAACTGGCCAGTCTCTCCTTTTGGGGTTCTAGATCCTTTTGAGACTATGATGCCCATAACTTCTGGAGATTCATGGCCCTCCAGAAATCTATCAGCTCAAGAGCTCTGCCCCAGAGTGTATTCTTTTCAGAGTTGTGACAGATCCATCCATTCTCACTTTCAAATTCAGCCTTCTCCAGGGCCCCGCTTTTGCTTGCTTTCTGCCCATTTGCTTTCTTGGTAGAATTGTCTGTAGACACCTTCCTGATCAGGTGGGGCAGATGGGTTCCTTGTACTTATGTGTTGGCTTGTTCTCTTCTCTGCAATGTGTCAAGTCATGACCATTCATTTCTCTCCCAGGATGCTGCGTCCTCAGGTGAAAGAAGAGATCATTTGCATGATTCAGAACACTTTCAACTTTAGTCTGAAACAGTCCAAACACCTTTTCCAAATTCTAATGAAATGTATGGTGCACAGGGATTGTGTGAGTATGATGACTGATGATTCAACTAACTTAAAAAAATGCTGATTTACAAAAATTGGAATATTTATTTATTCCAATAAATATTTCCTGAGTAGACTCAGGAAAAGTTTTTAGTGTTTTAGGGTACTGCGATCAAAATTTTTTCAATGACTTGGATAATATGAAGCTGATAATTATAGTAAATATGCAGATATGTCATGATTCAAAGAGACCTTTCCAGGATTTGAAGGCTGGACCAAATCGTACAATAATTTTGGTAATATTTAAGTACCTAGCCTCAAAAAACCAGTTGAGAAAGTTCAGGCTGGAGAAAGCATGGCAAAACATATGTGAAAAATGCTTTGGGGTTTTAGTTGACTGAATTACAACAATAACAGCCGTGTTTACACTTAGCAGTGTGCTTCCAAATACATTTTTCATCTGAAATAGCCTGGTGAGTGAGTTCAATATCGCACTGGTTGTTTATTTCCATTTCAGAGATGATGAAGCTGAAGACTAGAGAATTTAAGTGATTTGCACAGTCATGCAGTTAAGAAATGGTAGAACTGAAACTTGAGGTCAGAGTTGAAACGTTGTTCTTAGTCTCCTATGCTATATTTTTCCCACAATAACCAGTAAGTTAAGAACAGGGCATGTTAGAGAGATTGTCCTTCTGTGTGCCTCTTCCTGTCATCAATTAGAGTAATTAATGAGCAGTGCAGTGATCAAGCGTGGGAAAGAGAAGGCAGCTAAGGGTTTGCACATTGCAGGAACTGGGTTCTCACCTCCTGTACAATGGAGGGTTGATTTTATTCATGCACATGGAGGAGATGTTAGGTGAAGGGAACCAACCTGTGAAGTTGAAGAAGCATAGTTTTTACATCTTTATGGGACCTTAGAGATTATTCATTGGGTTCCTATCATTTTGTGGATGAGGAGCCTGAGATTCATTGGCCTGAAGGCATTTATCCTTCCCCTTCTAAAAGCACTCAATGGCCTTTTTCTAATGACCCTCTGAGCTGTCCAGAAAGGACACAGGAAAAACACCACTTTTGGGTGAAGTGACAGCATGTTGTGTTGTTTTGCTTCAATTGGTGGTGTGACAGGTGAAGGAGAGGAAAAAAAAAAAAAAGGAAAAAAAAGATATCTGCCCAAGGCTGGCTAGTTAGTGGTGTACCTGAGACTAGGACTTGCCAGTCTTGGGTTTTCTGTTAAACCAACTCCCTCTACTATGTGAAAAATATTTTCATTTGGAAAGATTGAGATCCATTCATTAATAGCAGGTGACCCTTTATATCTGTAAGTAAAGTCCTTATTTCTATCTATCTATGAATTAACATTGAGATTCTTTTTTTTTTTTTTTAAAAAGATGACTGGTAAGGGGGTCTTAACCCTTGACTTGGAGTTGTCAGCACCACGCTCACCCTGTGAGCTAACCAGCCATCCCCATATAGGGATCTGAACCCGTGGCCTTGGTGTTACCAGCACCACACTCTCCCAAGTGAGCCACGGGCTGGCCCAACATTGAGATTCTTTTTGTTGTAGCAAATACATGGTAAATTAATGTAATAACATTCTCTCATAAATGTCTCTGATAGTATACATGGAATTTTTAAGGGTTTTTTCCCAAGTGCCTACAATTCTTTGTTACCCTATATTAAAAGTTTTCTATAAGTTAAAAAAAAAATTAAACTCTATATTGTTTTGACATTACAAAATGAAGAATGTTTTCCTCAATTCGTTAGCTAGTGTGGATTCTGTGAGTACTCTTTTTTTTTTTTGTTTTTTTTTAAATTTTTTTTTTCCTTTTTGTCTTTTTTACTGACCGGTACGGGATCGCAACCCTCGATGTTGCGCCTGCGCTGTGCTCAGCCAGTGAGCGGGAACTGGTCACCACATGGGATCCGAACCCTCAGCGGGAGCGCCGCCGCGCTCCCAAGCGGTGCACTCTCCAGTGCGCCACCGGGCCGGCCCTGTGAGTACTCTTTGAAAGCATTTCTTTGATAGCTCCCCAAATGTATGGCTTTCTGCTTTTCACCTGTTACAGATTACCATATTTGATGCTGATTCTGAAGAGCAGCAGGACCTTGACTTAGTAATCCTAACAGCTTTGCTAAAGGGTGAGTATCTCAATGAGGTCCCAATTGTTCCTGACTTCCTCTTCTCACATTCCATGGCATTTTGAGCTTTTTGCACAGATATTTTCAATAGAGTATATAATTACTCCTTTCTTTTACCCTAGGCACAGATTTATCAGCATCAGAACAATTATATCTGGCAATGGCTTGGGACAGAATAGATATTGCCAAGAAACATATTCTAATTTATGGACAACATTGGCAGGTATAGTGAAAATGAAGATATTTGGAAAACATATTTTGTGTGTTGGTTTGTTAGGGAGGGGCAAAAGAGAAAATTGGAGGAGAGAGAGATTGGTTTGGAAGGGGTGCGAGGCAAGCATCTCTGTACCTAGGGCCCAGTAAGACATTTTTCTCATTTACTTTGCCTCTCTGAAAATATTTTTTCTCTGGCTCTGCAGCCTGATTGTAGCAGAAAAAGGAAGTTGGGGGAAAGACAGAATGGAAGAATTTTTAAGTTATTTTTTGAATCAGTGGATTTTTATATTGTTATTTAAAACTTAAAACTTATGTTTTGCATTAAAATGTAATAAGTGCTTACTGTGGAAATTAGTAAAAACTGCAAAAAAATTATCCATAATGCTATGGTAATCACTGTGAACATTTCATTAAAAAAATTACAGTTCTGACTATATCACAGGTATATTGTTTTTGAGTCAAACTAGCACACGCACATTGTTAAAAACGTAAAATGGGAACAAGGGGTAAGATAGCGGACTTGAGGTGCTCAATGCACACACTCCAACAGCAAGGGACCAGAGCAAGGAAAGGACAGCTAAGTGTGGTGGAGAGCATCGGTGGGAAAGCGTAATAGGACAGGGGGAGCCTGGTGAGGAATGTGTGGAGCATGACAACCAAGCAGGGTGCGGTAGAGGAGAAAGAGGCATGTGTCTCCCAAAGCAGAATCAGCACAGGAGGAATTCTCCATTGCAGCAGAAAGAGTCTGCTTGGTCGTGAGCACTTCTCAGTGGTAACCCTCCTCCTGCTCCTGCCTCAGCTTGTCCCCTGCACCACTGTGGTTGCTTGTGTCATTGTCCAGTCCCAGAGCTGTGGCCCTTGACAGGAGTTCATCCTGAGCAGCCCATCCCACCACGTGGCCCATGTTGTCCATGTGGCACTGAGTGCCTGCACAGCTCCAGCCTTCCAGCTGCCTCTGTGGCTTCTGCCTTCTAGCCACCTGCACAATTCCAGCCTTTCAGCCAACTGTGTGGCCCTGGCTGTCCACGTGACTCCAACTACCTGGCTGCCAGGGCAGCCCCACTCACCCGCCTAGGCCCAGCTGTTCAGCTGCCCATGTGGCCTCACCGACCCATGTGGGCCCAGCCATCTAGCTGTCCATGCAGCCACAACTGCATAGCCATTTGTGTGGCTCCACTCATCCCTGTCACTCCAACTGAACAGTCAGCCATGCAGCCCAACCTGCCCATATAGGCCCAGCCATTCAGCCAACTGTGCAGCCCAAACTGACACAGCCACCCATGCTGTCCCACTTGCACACTCGGCCTCAGCCACCCGGGCTGACCACATGGCCCCCACCCATCTGTGTGGGCCCAGTCATGGAGCCCCAGCCACAGACATAGCTGCTGGCATCCCCTGGAAACAGTGAGTTTACACAGAACTACTGAGTCTACCTGGAATAACTGAGTCTACCTGGAGCTACTGAAACTACTGAGTCTACCCAGAACCAAAACTAAAACACCCTACTCAACAAATCATACATAACAAATCTACAAGAGGGAGTCTTTCTTCTCAAAAGCTACCTCAGAGTAATAGAAGAAGAAATGACCAGGTGACTAGGCATCAACATAGGGATACTAGAAATATGAAGAAAAAGGAAAACATGACACCACCAAAGGAGCATATAATTCTCAAACACTAGACCACAACAGGAAACCCTTGATATGTCTGAAAGGGAATTCTAAATAACACTCTTAAAGAGATTCCATGAGATACAAGAAGACTCACTTAGACAACACAATAAAATGAGAGAATCAATCTAGGACATGAAAGAGGAAATTTATAAAGAGAAAAATACCATAAAAAGAATATAGCAGGACTCCTGGAACTGAAAGACTCATTCAACAAAGAAAAAGTACAACTGAGAGCATAAGCAGCAGGCTAGAGCAAGCAGAAGAAAGAATTTCTGACCTTGAAGACAGTCTGTTTGAATAACCCAAGCAGACAGAAAAGAAAACAAACACCCCCGCCCCCAAAAAAGAGAAAAAGAAAAAATAATTTAAAAAAGTAAAGAAAGTCTAAGAGAGCTACCAGACCACCATAAGCACACAAACATCTGAATCATGGGTGTTCCGGAAGGAGAGGAGAAAGGAAGAGGATTGAAAACATATTCAATGAAATAATAGTGGAAAGCTTCCCAGTTATTGGTAGAGATGTGGACTTTCAGATCCAAGAGGCTCAAAGATCCCCAAATCGATTTAATCCAAAAATGTCCTCTCCAAGATACATTGTAGTCAAACTGTCAAAAATCAAAGACAGAGAATCCTAAAAACACCAAGAGAAAAACATCAAGTCACCTATAAGGGAGTCCCCATCAGACTGGCAGCAGACCTCTCAGCAGAAATCCTGCAGGCCAGAAGAGAATAGGATGATATATTCCAAGTACTAAAAGAAAAAACAAACAAACAAACAAACAAAAAAACGGGCAGCCAAGAATACTAAACCCAGCAAGGCTATCCTTCAGAAATGAAGGGGAAATAGTGTGTTTCCCAGGCAAAAGAAAGCTGCAGGGATTCACCACCACACAATCAGCTATACAAGAAATCCTTAAGGGAGATCTGTGTCTGTAACCCAAATAATGATAATTACTGCCATGAATACACAAGAAAAAAGAAATGCCTCTGGTAGAGCAGATATGCAAGTGAGAAAGAAAAAGAAAGTATACCCTACCACTTCAAAAAACCAATGAACACTGAAGACAAACAATAAAAGGGAAAGAAAGGCACAAAAGATATTTCAATCAACCATAAGAAAAGCAATTAAATGTCAGGAGTAAAACAATACCTCTCAATAGCAACCTTAAATGTAAATGGATTAAATTCCCCACTCAAAAAACACAGACTGGCTGATTGGATTAAAAAACCAGACCCAGCAATATGCTATGTCCAGGAGATTCACCTCACCTATAAAGACATACACAGACTAAAAGTGAAGCGATGGAAAAAGATATATCATGCAAATGAAAATCAAAAATGAACAGAAGTAGCTTTTCTTATATCAGATAAAATAGACTTTAAGCCAAGGATGCCCACTCTCACCACTCCTGTTTAACATAGTATTGGAAGTACTAGCCTGAGCAATCAGGCAAGAGAAAGAAAGAGTGCATCCAGGTAGGAGAAGATGTAGTCAACCTGTCCCTGTTTGCAGATGACATGATCCTATATATAGAGAAACCTAAAGACTCTACAGGAAAATTCTTAGAGCTGATGGATGATTTCAGTAGAGTTGTAGGATAAAAAATCAGTAGCAGTTTTATACTCCAACAATGAGCTCACAGAAAAATAAATCAAGAAAGTTAGCTCATTTAAAGTAGTCACCAAAAAAATAAAACACCTAGGAATAAATTTAACCAATGAGGTGAAAGATCTCTACAATGAGAATTACAAATCACTCTTGAAAGAAATTAAAGAACACACAAAAAATTTCATGCTCTTTGATTAGAAGAATTAATATTGTGAAAATGTTCATAATACCCAAAGCAATCTACAGATTCAGTGCACTCCCCATCAAAATACCAATGACATTCTTCACAGAAATAGAAAAAAACAATCATAACATTCAAATGGAACAATAAAAGAACTTGAATAGCCAAAGGAATCCTGAGCAAAAAAAAATAAAGCCAGAGGCATAACACTACCTACTTCAAATTATACTGCAAAGCTATAGTAACCAAAATAGCATGTACTGGCATAAAAACAGATACTAGGACCAATGAAACAGAATAGAGAACCCAGAAATCAACCCACAGACTTACAGCCAACTGATCTTTGACAAAGATTCCAAGAACATACCTTGGGGAAAAGTTGCCTCTTCAATAAATGGTGCTGGAAAAATTGGATGTCTGTATGTAGATGAATAATCTAGACCTGTTTATTCATCTTACCATATACCAAAATCAACTCAAAATGGATTAAAGACAAGTATAAGACCTGGAACTATAAAACTCCTGAAAGAAAACATGGGGGAAATACTTCAGGAAGTAGGACTGGGCAAAGACTTTATGAATATGACCTCAAGTACATAGGCAACAAAAGAAAAAATAGACAAATGGAATTATATCAAACTAAAAAGCTTATGCACAGCAAAAGAAACAATTAACAGAACGAAAAGACAACCTACAGAATGGGAGAAAATATTTGCAAACTATGCATCTGACAAAGGATTAATATCCAGAATATGCAAGGATATCAAACAACTTAGTAAAAAAACCAAGTAACAGTAAACAAACAAACAAACAAACAAAAAAAAAACAAGTGAATGATTAAAAAATGGGCAAAGGAACTGAATAGGCATTTCTCTGAGGAAGATATACAAATGGCCAACAGACACATGAAAAAAGCTCAACATCACTCAGCATCAGGGAAATGCAAATCAAAACTGCATTAAGTTATCATCTCACCCCAGTTAGACTGGCTACTATCAAAAAGACAGAGAACAACAAATGCTGACAAGGATATGGAGAAAGGGGAACGTTCCTGCACTGTTGGTGGGACAGTAACTTGGTGCAGCCATTATGGAAAATGGTATGGAGTTTCCTCAAACAACTACAGATAGAACTGCCATACAATCCAGCAATCTCACTGCTGAGTATATACCCAAAGGGATGGAAATCATCATGTTGAAAGGATATCACAGCTCTATTTACAGTAGCCAAGAGTTGGAACCAACCTAAATGTCCATCATCAGATGACTGGAAAAGGAAAATGTGGTATATTTACACAATGGAGTACTACTCAGCCATAAAAAGGAGTGAAATCCTGCCATTTGCAACAACATGGATGGACTTAGAGAAAATTATGCTAAGTGAAATAAGCCAGGCACAGAAAGAGAAATATTGCTTGTCCTCACTCATAAGTGGGAGCTAAAAATTAAGCAAATAAATAAAAAAAGAAAGATATAACAATCATAATAATATGTTGAACGTTCAAAAGGAGAGAACACAGCTGAGCTAACCAGAGGTGGGAAATGGGGAGTGGGAGGGAAGGTAGGGGAGGAATCGATAAAGGACCATGAAAAATGGTAACATTGAATAATATTGAATATACTAATTATCCTGATTTGAGCATCACCTATTGCATAGAGATATTGATATGAAACTCTGTACCCCACAGACATATACAATCAATTATGTTTCAATAAAAAAAAAAAAATCCGTGAAAAAAAATCAAATGATAGGAAAAGGCTACTAAAAGAAAAGTGTAGTCCTCTGCCCTGCTTATTGCGAGAGCCTAGTGCTTTTGACATTTTTGGACTGTTCTGACTTTTACAGATGTCCATATTTCTAAATAATCTTATCAGATTTATAAACCTCTCCACACTTCTGTCCTGTGGGCCTCACGCCTGCAATGTGGACGGGTTGTCTAATGTTCCTGGTATGTCCTGGGATCTACCTGCATCAGCTTAGGGCTCAGCATTGCCTCTCTTATGTGAGAGTGCCTGTTTTCTGTGTCCCATGTCTTACTCTTTCTTGGTTTATTCCTTATATTGATGGTGTGTATCTTTCAGTACCTTCCTGAGAACGGAAGTATGGAAAATAAATATTTTGAGGACTTTATATGTTTGTCTATTTTTAAATTCATGATTGGAACTAATTTTCCTCCGGAATTTTGAATATCTAGCTTCCAGCACCCAGCATTGCTGTTGAGAAGTAAAAATCTTTGTTTTCAGATCCTTTGTTTGTGACCTTTTTTTCCTCCTTTCTGGAAGTTTCAAAATTCTTCTTGTTTCAGTGTTCTGAGATTTTTACAATGATGTATATTGTTGTTAGCCTGTGTATCCATTATGCTGGGCAGTTGACTTCAACTTGGCAATCGTGTTTCCATTCCATTCCCTTCCATTCCATTCCATATCCCCCACACCCCTTCCGTTTTTCCTCTGTTCTCTTTCTGGAATTCCTATTATTTGCATGTTGGACCTTATGGACTGCTCCTCTAAACTTCTTATCTTTTTCTTATGTTCCATATATTTTCTTTGGTAGATTTCATCAACTTTAATTTTCAAGCCTTCTTTGCAGCTTTTCTTTTTTTTTTTATTAAAAGATGACTGGTAAGGGGATCTTAACC